CAGGGGAGGGTCAGAGAGGGAGAGAGACCCAGAATCTGAAACAGGCTCCAAGCTCTGAGCTGGCTGTCAGCACAGAGCTCAACACGGGGCTTGAACCCATGAACTGTTAGATCATGACCTGAGCTGAAGTCAGACACTTAACCGACTGAGCCACCCAGGTGCCCCGAGAATTTCTGCAAATTGTTAGCATGAGGAAGAAAAGGAAATGTCAGGGAGGTGTTTTTTTTTTTTTTTTTTTAATGTTTATTTATTTTCTTGAGAGAGAGAAAGAACAGGGGGGAGGGGGGGGGACAGGGGACCTGAAGTAGGCTCTGTGTTTATGGGATTAAGGTAGGTATGAAATAGTTTGTTATCCTTTTAATATTTGTAGAATCTGTAGAGATGTCACTTCACTCATTCCTGATATGGGTAGTTTATGTTATTTCCCTTTCTTTCCTCATCATCCTGGATAGTTTTATCATATTTATTATTCTCAAAGAATCAGCTTTTTGGTTCCATTGATTTATTTTATTTGTCAGTTTTCTATTTTATTGATTTCTGCTCTGCTCTTCATTATTTCCTTTGTTTTACTTACATTGTGTTTTATTTGCTCTTATTTTTCTAGTGTGTCAAAATGGAAAAGTCTTTGATTTGAGTCTTTGATTTCTTCTTTGCTAATATAGTATTTGGTTCTATAAATTTCTCCCTGAATACTGCTTCAGTGGCATTCCATAATTTTTATATAGTTTTCATTTTCTTTTGGTTCAAAATGCTTTCTAATTTCTTTTTTGATTTCTTCTACAATCCATGGGTTATTTAGAAATGTATATGTTTCTGGGGTGCGTTGGTACTCAGTAAGTTAAACATTTGAATTCTGACTTCGGCTCAGGTCATGATCTTGTGGTTCATGAGTTTAAGCCCCACATGGGGCTGTCTGCTATCAGCACAGAGCCTGCTTTGATTCTCTGTCCTCCTCTCTCTCTGTCCCTCCTCCCCTGCTTGCACACTCTCTCTCAAAAATAAACATTAAAATATTTTAATGTATATGTTTCCAAATATTAGAGAATTATCCATATATTTTTCAGTTATTGATTTCTAATTCAATTTCATTGTGGAAAAAGCCTTGTTTTCTGGTCCAGTATATGTTCTACCTTTGTAAATGCTCCATGTACACTTGAAAAAAAAAATGAGTTTTGTTTTTTTTTTGCTGTTGTTGGTTGTGCTCTGTAAATATCAATTAGCTCAATGACAGTATTTTTCAAATCTATATTTTAGCTTATTTTTTTGTCTAGCAATTACTGAGAGTGGTATTAGAATCTCTGACTTACCATTGTGGATTTTTCTCTCTCTTCCAGTTTTATCAGTTGTTTCATGTATTTTGAAACTATTGTTAGGTGCATAAACATTTAGAATTGTTATTTCCTCTTGGTGAGCTAACCACTTTAGTATTATGAAATGATCTTTATCCCTATTTTTTGTTCTGAAATCTACTTTTTAGATATCAATACACCTACTCCAGTTTCTTTTTTTTTTTAACAGCTCTATTGAGATATAATTCACATGTCATATAATCCATCCATTTAAAGTGTACACTTCCATTTTTGGTATGTTACATTATTAAATTTTTATATTACCATAAAATGTATGGTAATATACATAAAATGTACACAAAATTGCCATTTTAAGAATTTTTAAGCGTATGATTCAGTGGCATTAAATATATTTGCAATATTGTACAATCACCAATACTATCTATTTCCAAAATTTTTATCAACTGAAACGAAAACTCTGTAATCACTAAGCACTCTAGGCAATTAACTCTCAGTTCCTCCCTCCCCACATTCCCTGGTAACCTCTTATTTTCTTTCTCTGTGTATTTGTCTAATCCAAATATTTCATATAAGCAGAATACAATATTTGTCCTTTTGTGTAGACTTAGTTCACTTTGCATATTTTTTTCAAGATTCATCCATGTAGTACCATATTATCAGAATTTTATTCCTTTTTATGGCTGAATAACATTCCATTGTGTGTGTATATATATACATATATATGTGTATATATATATGTGTATATATATACGTGTGTGTGTGTGTGTATATATATATATATATATATATATATACACACATACTATATTTTGTTTGTCCGTCCATCTCTTGATGGACACTTGGGTTGTTTCCACCTAGTGGCTATTTTGAATAATGCTGTAATGAACATTAGAATACAAGTATTTATTTTTTCAAGTCCCTGCTTTCACTTCCTTTAGGAGTGGAATTGCTGGGTCATATGGTAAACTATGCTAAGCTTTTGAAGAATTGCCAAACTGTTTTCTTCAAAAAAAATTTTTAACATTTATTCATTTTTGAGAGACTGAGACAAAATGCATGCAGAAGAGGGGCAGAGAGAGAGAGGGAGACACAGAATCCAAAGCAGCTCCAGGCTCTGAGCTGTCAGCACAGAGCCTGATGCGGGGCTCAAATCCACAAACCATGAGATCATGACCTGAGTTGAAATCAAGAGTTGGGTGCTTAACTGGCTGAGGCACCCAGGCACCCCTATTTTTTATTTTGATGAAGTCCAATATATCTAGTTTTTTCTTTGGTGGTTTGTGCTAAGAATCCATTGCCAAATCCAAGGTCATTCCAGCTTTCTCTATACAGCATTAGCATGGTGTATCTTTTTCCATCTTTGTACCTTTAACCTATTGGTAGAGTTATATTTAATTTCTCATAGGCAGTATATGGCTGAGTCATGCTTTTTTTTTAAATCTCATCTGACACTGTTGGATTTTCACTCTTTACTCTTAAATTTTCAGATAAATTATATTTAATTTGATTAAACCTTCCATCTTGCAATTTGTTTCCCATCTGTTTTTTGTTCCTTTCTCTTTTTGACTTCTTTTGAATTGAGTGATTTATGATAATTTATGATTCCATTCTATCTTCCTTGTTGGATTATTAACTATAACTTTTTGTTTTCTTAGTTTAGTAGTTGCTATAGGGCTTAGAGTATACATCTTATAGTGTTTGTTCAGGTGATATTATATTACTTTACACAGAATGGAGGAAACTTAATAATAGTTTATTTCCATTTACTTCTCTTCTCCTGATCTTTGTGCTATTGTTGGCATATGATTTACATACACATCCTAAACTACATTGTTTATATTTTTATTTAAACAGTAATTTATCTTTTGGTGAGATTTAAATAATAAAAAATGTCTTACATATTTACCTTGTATTTATTTTCTCTGATGCTCTTCATTCCTTGTGTAGATCCAGATTTTTATTCTTAAGTATTTATTTTTGAGAGAGTGGGTACAAGTGGGGGAAGAGCAGAAAGAGAGGGGGACAGAGGATCTGAAGTGGGCTCTATGATGACAGCAGAGAGCCTGATGCAGGACTTGAACTCACAAACCCTAACATCATGACCTGAGCCAAAGTCGGTTGCTTAACCAACTGAGACACCCAGGCACCCCTGAATCCAGATTTCTGTTTGTTATTCAAGGACACATGTAGGGACCCATAGGTAGCTAAGTCAGTTAAGCCTCAGTTAAGCTGAAACTCTTGGTTTCAGCTCAGGTCATGGTTTCATGGTTCTTGGTTTCAGGGTTCTGCACTGGTGGCATGGAGTCTGCTTGGGATTCTCTCTCTGCCCCCCTCTCTCAAAATAAACCATTTTTTAAAAAAGAAAAAAATTACATGTATTAAGCCTTTTGAGGTTACCCTTCTGCTCACTTTCTATTTGCTATTTTTAAAAGTTTATTTCAGGGGCGCCTGGGTGGCATTAAGCATCCAACTTCAGCTCGTGGGTTCGAGCCCCACATTGGGCTCTGTGCTGACAGCTAGCTTAGAGCCTGGAGCCTGTTTCAGATTCTGTATCTCTCTCTCTCTGTCTCTCCCCTGCTCATGCTGTCTCTCTCTCTTTCTCTCTCAGAAATAAAATATTTTTTAAAAAGTAAAAGTTTATTTTATGTCTATCCCAGAACCCCCAAGAGCATCTGACACCCACTAGATGCTTTCTAATTTGATACCAAAGGGACTAATTCCACAATCCACAACCATTAGTCTAATCCTCAGGATCTGTCACACACATGATCATATCCCACTTCTACTCCACTTTACACCAGTCAGTCCCTTTCTATTAATAGCACATTCTCACACACAATCTCACATGCACACAGAAAACGAGCATGCCCATGCCAACACCTAGGGTTTTACACATACACACAATGACAGAATCAGAGGGTCGTGGCACCACGCACAAAATTAGGTGACAGAACTTGTTCAAATTTAAACCCCATTCTAAAGGAGTATAGAGTCAGATTAAGGTGGTCTGAGTGGTGTCATTGGGGAAGGCATTTCTGGAGATGTGACATTTGTATCTGGACAGAATAAGGGAACTTTGGAGACACCCGGCAGAAGCGCCATTTTAGGAAGGGGGGACACATTCACACCCATCATCAAATCACAAGTACAAGAACGGTATGCAAAGGAAGACACTTTCTACCCTGACCCTTTCCCTCCGGTCTTCGAGGTAACTCATTCCCGAAGCAGAAACGCCCTAGGGACGGCGGGACCTGCGCACTCGCTTCTTTCCCTATCCCACACACTCTTTTCGGGTGTCCCTGCACAACCGTTGGTGAGCGCCCCTCACTCCATTTGTGTGAGCGCGCGCACCCGAACCGCATCCCTTGCGGCTATTCCGCTCCTCTTAAGTTCTGCGCCTGATTGCTAAGGGAGGCGGACGGAGCACTTGCTCCTGCTCACTTCAACCCCAATCCATCTAGTTGACGCTCTACCCTGGTCCCGTGGCGGACCCAGGCTCCGAGGTGAGATCTGAGCTCTCTCGGTAGAGCCAGGAAGAGGTCGGCGTGGGAGGACCCGGGGCAGAGGGGCGGTGTTCCGAATCCCCCGGCGGAGACACGCCAGTGCAGTCGGACTCTGCAGCGCTGCTTTTTCTGGTCTGGACTACATTTCCCAGTGGCCCCTGCGATTACTGGGCCGGCGGCCCCTTTGTGTCCTCCGGAGGCCCAGTCGTTTCTATCCGGGCCCGCGGGGGTGGGTTCCATCAGACTCTTAGGGCAAGAGGTGGGCCGGAGTAGAGATTGCCCGAGCATTCGGGGCGGGGACGGGATCTTGCCGCAGTTCGCTACTGCAGGTAGGGAAGGGGCTGAGGTGGGTCACCCGGACGTCGGTTTCCGGGCCTGCGGCGTGAGTCTAGGTGCGAGATCGTGGTTGGATGTCATACAGTGTGAGACTCAGCCGATGTGCCTGTGCACGTCGTGTCTGTGACTGTGGGTGCGAGTGAGTCGATGGTTGGTGCTATCGAGTGTGAGACTGTGAGTGGGGGTGGCAGGGTATGGTGTCCCGCGTTTGTTCCAGTACCCTCGGCCTCTTTGTGACTGGGGTTGTGAGTGTGAACGTCGGTTGCGATACCCTAGTGCTTGAGACTTCGGGCTTTGGGAGAGCGTGATGGTTGTGGCCGCTGACTGTTCTGTGTGTAAGACGGTGGTTGGCGCTATAGTTTTTAAGAATGAGTATGTGGGGGGACTAGTTGAGACTACGAAGCCAGCGAGGTGATGCCTGTGTGCCACCAAGTTTCAGAACTACAGGTCTATTGGAGAGGAGAAAGAGTGTGGAGTCAAGAAGACCTTTATTTGATCTTGGTACTGTAAGTCATTTGTTGTGTGTCTTTATGTAAATGATTACATTCCTCAGAGTCTTTATTTGTAAAAATTGAGAAAATCTACTGTTAAAGTAATAAGGAAGTGATTTAGTCATGGGTTAACATGTATGCAGACAAATTACTAGGTCTCCAGTATGCTTTCTCTCTATTGGAAGGAAGGGTGCAAGAGGAGGAAAGAGAAGCCAAAAAATTCTAGTCTGATGATTCTGGATGCTATAGGGAAACCCCAGCTTTTCATGTTCTCTTCCCCATCTCAGTCATCCAAGGACACTGCCATTTCCTAAGAGAGAAGCCAAGAGGAAGAAACAATGGCTGTTGGACTTCTTAAAGCCATGTACCAGGTGAGTTGGTGTTTTCTGTTTCCTGAAATATTTTCCTGCTCTTCAAATGTCAAAGCAGACATTAACTTTGCTTATGCTGACTCTTTATTGGGTAAATAATCTCATGTCACTTATTAAAAGTCTCCAGCAGTTGATTCCCACCTCATTCAGGGTACATGCTGAACTCCTTGCCTTGCCCTGCAAGACCATACATAATCTGGTCCCTGACTATCCTTCTGACCTCATCCTCTCATTCTGTAACTCACTCAGTTCTAGCCACACTAGCTAGCTTCCTTGTAGTGAACGGAGTACATGCATTTTTTTTTTTTTTTAACTGAGCACATTCTTAACTCATGGCCTTGCACTTGCTGTTTCCTCTGCCTGGAATGCTGTTCCCCCAAATACAGACCAACTTCTTCATTATAGTCTTTGCCCAAACATTATTAAGCACCTATTAAGTAAGAGGGCTGAGTCTTTGGTCCTCTATCATCTTTTCTCTATCTACACTCACTCCTTTGGAGATCTCATTCTGTCTCATGGCTTTAAATGCCATCTATAGCGACAAATACCAAATTATATACAGCCCAGTCCTCTCTCCTGAAATCCAGACTTGTATATTCAACTAACTAGACTTAGCATCTTCATTTAGTCATATAATAAATACCTCCAACTCAAATATCTCAAACTTGGTGAAAGAAGCCATTGTAAGTTTGCAGACATAGAAGTGACATATCTAATTCTAATTTAATAAAATCACTCTGGTTGCTATTGAGAATAAACTGAATGGGACAAGGATAGAAACAAGGAAGAGTTTCCAATTAGGAAACTCATACATACTTCCCCATCCTAGATGCTCAACCTAAAAGTCTTCCATTGTGAAGTTCTGTTTGTTCTGTGTTCAAAATATATCCAGAAGTTGACGATTTTTATTACCACTGCTGCTTCCATTCTGGTCTGAACTGTCATCTCTCACCTAGATTACTGCTATAGTCTTCTAACTTTTCTGTCTACTTCCACCCTTCCTCTCTTTTAGTCTATTCTCAACAGAGCAGTCAAAGTGATTGTTACCCATGTCCTATTATGTGATTCTTCGTGGCAGGAATAGAAATTATGGAAAATACAGACAACTCTTTCAGATAATTTAGCTGTAAGGGAATAAAACAAATGGGTAGTAACTGAAGGATAAAATGGTTAACAAATGTTTTTAATTTTAATTTTTAATGTTTATTTATTTTGAGAGAGAGAGCATGTGTGTGCATGTACAAGTGAGTTGGAGAGAGGCAGAGAGAGAGGAGAGAGAGAATCCCATACAGGCTTCATGTTCAGCATGGAGCCCAAAATGGGGTTCTATCCCATGTCCATGAGATAACAACCTGAGCTAAAACCAAGAGGTGGTTGCTCAACCAAATGAACCACCCAGGCGCTTCAACATCAAGGTTTTTTAAAGATAGGTTTATATCTGTATGCTGATGTTCAAGATTCAGTAGAAAGGGAAATTTGAAGATGAAGAGAAGCAAAGAGGGGTTGGAATATCGCTTGAGTAGGTCAGAGGAGCTGAGGTCTAGCAGACAAGTGGAAGGAGTGGCCTTTGCTAGGAGAGTGGCCGTTCATTTAGAGTAGTAATAGGAGCAAGTTAGAATATGTAGGACAAATGCAGAAAGATGTGTAGATGTTGTGGGAGTTTCTGGAAATTCTCTTTGAATGGCTTTTGTTTTTTCAGCGAAACAGCAAGATCTTTAGTAAGGATGAGGAGAGAGATAATGAAGACTTGAGGAGAGAGGGAAAAGTATGTAATGGTCATTTAGGAGAGTGGGGAAATGACTGGACAAGAGAAATGTATCATATAAGTAGCATTTTGGTACACTTGAGGTTAGTGTCATGAATTTAAAGTGAGACCAGCTAGCATGATTGGTATGACTTTCGCCAGCAAAGTTCAGCTGTTCAGGGTACAGAAATAGAGTATGCTAGGGATGGCTGTTGTTTAACCAGGTGACTAAGGGCAGGGAAATTGAGGGTATATCCGTAACAAATGGTTGAAGTAGGAAGTGAGGGGATGTGGGGTTGAGAAACATTGAAAATGTGGTAAGTAGAATGTGATTTGTAGGTTCTAGAGGGGTAAAAGAATTATCCTGATTGGGGTATTGGAGGGTAAAAGTTGGAATAGAAGAGGAAGAAGTCAGAGTAGGAGAGTTTGCTCCTTATTGGTAATGACAAAGTCTGGGGCATGGCAGTGGAAGTGAATGACTATACAAGTGTGGAAGACAAGACTCCTGGAGGAGGGAATCGACACAGAACTGAGAACCCTGGATATTGGGACGTTTATTTATAAGATATTGAAATGCTCAAAGATTATATATGATAGGAGTAGTGTTGAAGAGAGTGACAGTGAGTCAGGTGCTAAGATGTTCAAGGAATGACAGAGTATTGGTATCTACCGGGAATTAATAGGTAACTAAAAGGGGGATGACAGAGTATGATTTCATGAATGTTTAAAGCTAGGTGTCTTTTAGGGAGGTAAGAAGGGTAATTGCCTAGAAACAAATGTAAGGAGCAAAGAGGTCTCCAGGTGGTGTGGTACAATAAGTATTGGAAATAAGACAGTCACCACATGAGAGGGCTTCAGGGGAAGTAATCAGTCCTCTGAGCTGGGAGCCATGTTTCTATGAAGGCAAAAAGATAAGTATTGGAAATAAGACAGTCACCACATGAGAGGGCTTCAGGGGAAGTAATCAGTCCTCTGAGCTGGGAGCCATGTTTCTATGAAGGCAAAAAGATGAAGGGAACTGTTGACTTTCTTCATACTGACTTGATTATAATTATGACCGGATGTTAAAACCAAGTATTTGGTTAGAGGTCACATTTATTTATTTTCATTTATTTTTTTTTTAATTCCATTGTAGTTAACTTATAGTGCTTAGTTTCAGGTGTACAGTGATCCAACCATTCCACATATTACTCAGTCCTCATCAAGACAAGTATACTGCTAATCCCCTTCACCTATTTCCCCTATTACCCCATTCCACATACCCCCTGGTAACCATCTTTTTGTTTTCTATAGTTAAGAATCTGTTTTCCTTAAGAAACTCTTAAATACAGAGAACAAACTGAAGGTTGCTGGAGGGTTACTGGGTGGAGAGACAGGCTAAGTGGGTGATGGGCATTAAGGAAGGCATTTGTTGGGATGAGCCCTGGGTGTTATATGTAAGTGATGAATCACTAAGTTTTACTCCTGAAATCATTATTACACTATATGTTAACTAACTTGGATTTAAATAAAATAAATAAAAGAAAAGAAAAGAAATGAAATAAAATAAAAGAATATGTTTTTTGGTTTGTCTTTTTCCTTTCGTTTGTTTGCTTTGTTTCTTAAATTTCACATATGAGTGAAATCATATGGTATTTGTCTTTCTCTGACTGGCTTATTTTGCTTAGTATTATATTCTCTAGATCCATCATGTTGCTGCACATGGCAAGATTTCATTCTTTTTATGGTTGAATAATATTCCATTGTATATATAGAGGTCAAATATTTTAAGAGATCATTTGTTAGAAGTCGGATATTTGAAAGTAGTACTTTAAGCTCATTATATTGACATTGTCATTATTTTCATTAAATTTCATTAAAAGAATTATTGAGGGGTACCTGGATGTCTCAGTTGGTTGAGCATCTGACTATTAATTTCGCCTCAGGCCATGATCCCAGGTTATGTGATCGAGCCCTCTGTTAGGTTCTGCGTGGATCCTGCTTAAGTTTCTCTCTCTCTCTCTCTTTCTCTCTGTCTCTCTCTCCCCTGCTCCTGTGCCCTCCTTCTAAAATTAAAAATAAGAAATAGAATCATTGAAAAAATATATGTCATATATTAAAAATAGTTATACATTTATTATATATATTTATATATAATTATATGAGGTAAGGAAAACATTTTTTTTAAATTTTTTTTAAATTTTTTTTTAAATTTTTTTTAATGTTTTATTTATTTCTAGGAGAGAGAGAGAGAGAGAGACAGCATGAGCAGGGGAGGGTCAGAGAGAGAGAGGGAGTCACAGACTGAAACAGGCTCCAGGCTCTGAGCTGGCAGTCAGCACAGAGCCCGACGCGGGGCTCGAACCCACGAACCGCGAGATCATGACCTAAGCGAAAGTCGGACGCTTAACCGACTAAGCCACCCAGGCTCCCCAAGGAAAACATTTTTGGAAGCATATGTTCAACATATGAGGGATATTATTGTTGGTAGGGCAGAGATAAGGAAATTCACAAACTACTTCATATAATTAAATAAGAAAAAAATATTGGAGTGTTGTAAAACACTTCAATAATTTTTATTCTGTAGAGACAGTTTAACAATGACAAAATTGTATCAAATGCCCAATAATATTTTCTTTTCTTGCCTTGACAGATTGACCTCTTTTAATTTTGTAAAAAGAGATTATATATATTACATATATTTACATACAATTATATATATATATATATGTGTAAGTATATACATACACGCACACAAACACATATGTTAGTTTTCATCAGCAGGTGGTCACATAATAGAAATCTAGAATCCAGCTTAATCACAGCATAGCCCAAGTTTTGAAGAACTTTACCCAGCCCCTGTAGGTAGAACCAGTATTATAAGCAGAACACCCATTTCTTTACACAAAATTTTAAGTACTCTGGATTAAAGTATTTGAATTTTCATGAAATTGGTGATTTGCTCTGCTTGGTCTAACACAATATTTGGAGACATAGCAAGCATTCTGGTCTCATTTTTGATCCTTTCATAGTCTCTTCAACCTTTCAAACCAGTCTTTCATTAATTCAGTTTATTCAGCAAATATATGAATGCCTCATGTGAGCCAAATACTGTTCTATAACTAGGAATATAGCAGTGAGCAAAGGAAAAATGTACTCTACCCCCATGGTCTTCACATGTTAGTGGAGGCTGGGGACAGATAGTAACAAAATGATTAGGTGCCATGGAGAACAATAAAGGAAGGTTAGGGAAATAGGGAACAGGGTAAGACTTGGCTATTTAAAAAATTTTTTTTAATGTTTTATTTATTTCTAGGAGAGAGAGAGACAGCGTGAGCAGGGGAGTGTCAGAGAGAGAGGGAGTCACAGACTCTGAAACAGGCTCCAGGCTCTGAGCTGGCAGTCAGCACAGAGCCCGACGCGGGGCTTGAACCCACGAACTGCGAGATCATGACCTAAGCAAAAGTCGGATGCTTAACCGACTAAGCCACCCAGGTGCCCCAAGAGTTTGCTATTTTTAAACAGAATGATCTGAGAAGTACAAAAGGCCTGAGGGGGAACATGCTTGCCATACAGTTGAGGATGTAATATCAGGGAGAGCCCATTATGCTTGGGACAGAACAAATAAGGTGAGCCATGTTAAGAATGAGCTTATTTCACTTCATTTATTGATTTCATTTCAGGAGTTGGTGACCTTCAGAGATGTGGCTGTGGACTTCTCCCGAGAAGAGTGGGACTGTCTAAATTCTTCTCAAAGGCATCTGTACAGTAATGTGATGTTGGAGAACTACAGGATCTTGGTGTCCTTAGGTAAGAATACCTTCTTTCAAAATTGAGCTTCTCATAATGGCCTCTTTGCTACCACCATTGTGAATCTTTGGATAGCATCCTCAGTGCTTTGCAGAATGTCTGTTGCTGTGCCAAAGTAATGGTTTAATATTTGTGGAGTTGGGTCTGTTGTTGATATGTGTTGGAAGCTTCAGCTTTCCTGTACTTTGAATACATGTCTTTACACATTTGTCTCCAGCTCCCTCTTACCCGTTGAATAAAGGATTGGTTATGAGTTCTGGGATATCCACAGCATGAACAAATACTGTTTCTTTCCCATATATGCAGGACTTTGCTTTTCTAAGCCAAGCGTGATATTATTATTGGAACAAGGGAAAGAGCCCTGGATGGTGAAGAGAGAGCTGGCAAAAGGCTTGTGCTCAGGTGAGTGAAGAGGAAATAGAAATAGGCAGCCAAAAACCTCTGCAGGTGACAGCTCAGCTGGACATAGAGGTGTCACCCCTTCACTCTTCTTTGTTGGCATATTCTTGGATGTTCTAGGTTTTACTAGACACTGGGGCCTTTTAGAGCATTTCCCCAAATTTCTTTTTCCTTTTTTTAAATATTTATTTATTTTGAGGGAGAGAGAGAGAGAAAGAGAAAAAGAGCATGTGTGCAAGACCTTGGGGGGGGGGGGAGGGTGGGCAGAGAGACAGGGAGAGTGAATTCCAAGTAGGCTCTGCCCTGTCAGCACAGAGCCTGACATGGGGCTGGATCTCACAAACTGTGAGATCATAGCCTGAGCCAAAATCAGGAGTTGGATGTTTAACTGACTGAGCCACCCAGGTGCCCCCCAAATTTGTTACTCTTAACTATCTTTCCTTTAATACTTTGCTGTCTTCTAAGAACTCATTTATCTATTCTCTGAAACCCTTCCTACCCAGTTTCATAAGGGTCTTCCAGTCTTTAAAAAATCTTTTCCTAACCTGATAAACTTTTGAATTTTACAGACAGCCCTAACTCAAGTGCCAGATTCAGATCTTGACACTTACAGGCAGTAAAATTTTAGGCAAGTTACTTAACCTTTCTGTAAAATAGGATAATACTTTTTTTTTAGGATAATACTTATAAAGTGCTTTAAGAGTTCCTTTCTCATATTGTGAACTCAAAGGCTATTACTTGCTATTATTATAGCAGTAGTGAATCTCCAAATGCCTCATTTTTTGTCAGTGGTCAGTTCATTCATTGTGTCTTCAACATTTATTGAATTAAAAAATGTTCTTTAATGTTTTTGTTGTTGTTGTTGTTGTTGTT